CCACTACCTCGGACAATGAGTTCAAAGCGGATGTGGCCCGGATAGAGAAATGTAACCGTCTGCTGTTAGTGCTGCTCTGCTGATGCAAGATGATCTTAGGGTGTCCTCGCAGTTGGCGGAGCGGTGATAGTGATATTAGTTCGCTGTTTGGGTGACTGTGCGTTGATACTATTTTGTGCATCAATATTAAGTCCCCTCTCAGCCTCCTGTAGGAAAGGGTAAAGAAGTTGAGTCGCTTAAGTTTATCTTTGTGGCTCAGTTGCGATAGCTTAATGACTCGCTTGGTGGCTCTTCTCTGAACCGCTTTCAGTGCTCTAATTTCTCTTACTAAGGTTTGGGGCACGCTTAAATGTTATATTCAAAGTGGGTTCATAGATGCTGTATATCACTCTAAAGCACTCAGGTTCCCGTTAGGTCAGGTCAGCTCGAGTCAGGTTACACAGGACTGGTAGTGGCCACGGCCAATCGAGCGTCCAGAATGCCTTCGGTGGTGTGCTCACGAGTGTGCATCCACTTCTTCACTTGATCGGTTTCCCCGTCTATCTGCAGACAGAGATAATGAGAAACCTTACATTTTGCCGTGTCGGCGAGAGACCTTTAATGTGAAACCATTCCATATTGCACATAAAATTATTATAAACCTAGCATTCGCAACATTTTCGGTACTCCTCATTTGGGAACAGTTATAATCACCTCTTATCCAAAGCCGATTTTAAGGCGTGGACACTAGGCTGGTTGACTAGTTCTTCGGGTAGCCTCTTCTACCTGTTGACTATTATATTGCTGAAGTAATTGGAACACACACCTAACCTACTCCTCTTCTTCATCAATTTGTGCTCGTGACACATGGTACGAGCATACGAGGCATTAATGAAGAGTTCCTCAGGGGAAATTCTAGAGAACCCCCTCCTCATTTTAAACAGTTCTATAAGGTCTCCTCCAATTTGCTTTCCCTCTAGGGAAACTAGATTGAGGTCCCTTAAACTTATCTGGTATGATTTACCTCTCTGCCCCTTTACTATTCCTGTAGCTAGTCTCTGCACTTTCTCTGAGCAGGCGGCGTCCTTTTTGTGCAGAGGAGCACAGGCTTTGATATAGTATTTTAGATGGGGTTTAACCATTACTTTGTAAAACTGGACAAAGATTTCCTGTTTTCTGCAAGACAGAGCCGACCTAAGCCGGAAAAGCTCTCCCCGTTCCTTGTGAGCTGCAATTTCACATTGGCTACCAAAACTGATATCCGAAGTCATTGAATCGTTGAATCGTTTGGCAATTGAGGTTACACGTTATGGTATGTCATTTGCACCTTCAAAGTGCAAAGCGTTGTTGCAAGACTGGCAGGAACCCATCCCTGCAATTTCATTGGATACTGAAACTCTGGAAGTAGTCGAAAGCTTTGTCTACCTTGGGAGTTGCATAACGGCTGGTGGAGGTGTGGGTGAGATCTCTCAACGCATGATCAAAGCTAGATTAGCGTTTACTAATCTGCGGCATCTCTGGCGCCCGCGCGATATATCCCTTTCACTGAAAAGACGTGTGTATTGCGCAACGGTACGCACCGTGTTGCTCTATGGTTGCGAGACCTGGCCTCTCCGAGCAGATCACGTCCAGCAGCTATCAGTCTTCGACAACCGCTGTCTGCGCAACATCGCCCGCGTATGGTGGGAACACCGCGTGAATAACGATGAAGTCAGACGACGGGTGCTGGGACCAGATAGTCTTCCTTTGAGCAAAATAATTTCACAGCATCGTCTTAGGTGGCTACGGCACGTCCTACGAATGCCTGAGCACCGTCTGCCATACCGTGCAGTATTCGCAGACGTTGGTCCAAGCTGGAAGAAGCAACAAGGTGGGCAGGCTATGACGTGGCGCAGAGGGTTAAAGAGATTGTGCTCGGATCTGTCTTCCGTTGGGGGTTTCTCGGCTCCCCGGCTGGGGCCCCAAAGATTCAGATTGTTTTTGGCTGGAGACACTGCGGGATATGGTGTCGAACCGAACTCAGTGGCGCGAATGTCCTCTCTTGTTTGCAATCCCAAAAGTAAACAAAAACGAAAAAAACTCAAAATGGCGTGCAGTAAACAAACAAAAAATTGTTACTCCCCGACGTTGACTGTTTTGTTATCCCCGTTTTTTTACCTGTATTTTTTCGTTCACCCATGGTTATTTTTGGCGTCGTATCTGTAAAGGTTGGTGTTTATATATATATATACATATATACGGTCATCCGCGAGGTATTTCTTTGGTTGCTGTTATCAACAATCATCGTGCGGAATGAAGAACTACCAAAGGATACCCAAGATAAAGAAGGACGTTCAACCATCTAGGTGTTAGTGCTCATGCTCACTACAAGAAATCTTTCAGGCATTCAATTCGACTGTTGGTCTGTGCACTGTAGACTTTGTTGATTGCGACGCCTTTGGTATATTCAGTTTTTACAACCATTAATCATGCACTTTTGTGCGCCGTCTACGCTTTGTACGCGCAAGCTCTACCAGCTGAGCTACGAGGGTTCGAATCCCACCGAGGCTATTGAACTTTTCACAATCGACATACAAACTTCAAATCTGCCTATAAATTTGAACAATAATCCTTTTTATTTGAAACAAAATGAGTGATTTTCATTTTCCGATGTCAAGAAAGGAAGAAAAGTCATATTTCGTAGTAAAACTTTTGTACAAACTGTTATTTGTAATTATACTTTCCTTCTAATTCGTTTATAGTTTGGTGTTATTGGGCAAACATAGATGCAGAATATCGTTCGTAACGAGATTTTCCCAGGGGTTATACATTTCGGATCGTGGTATATGGGAGACTAAGGCATATTGGTTCCGGATTCGTAGAATACTTGCGCGAATAAAGTTGGGAAAACGGGTGGAGCAATTGACAGTGTGAAAAGGTCGGGTTAAACTGCCATAAATCACCTCTAAGCCATTTGAATTTGACTAGTTTCGGGCTTCCAGGTTACAGGTTTACAAAAGTAGTGCGGATAAGTAGTTCAATGAACGATAGTCAGTGATTTTTCCGTTAAGAAAACGATCGGTAATTAGGATGAATCGCCGCCGGATTTCTTTTCGAGTCACCGACAGTAACCAATCCGTTTCGATCAGGTCAGGTTGCACTGGACTGGTAGTGGTCACGGGCCAATCGGGCGTCCAGAATGCCTCCGGTGGTGTGCTCACGAGTGTGCATTCTCCTCTTCAATTGATCAGTTTCTCCGTCTATCTGCTAACAGAGCGAAACTTCACTTCTCGCCGTGTCGGCGAGAGACTTTTAATGTGAAAGCGTTCCATATTGCACAAAACATGTTATGAATATAACTTTCGTATCCTACTCAGTACTCGTCGTTGGGGAACAGTTCTAGTACCCTCTTGTTCAAAGCCATTTTGAAGGCGTGTACACTAGGCAGGTTGATTAGTTCCTCGGGTAGTCTCTTCCACCTGTTTACTATTCTATTGCTGAAGTAGTTGGACCTCACACCTAACCTACTTCTTTCCTTCAACAGTCCGTACTCGTGACCCCTGGTACCAGCATGAGGGGTATTGGTGAAGAATTCCTCTGGGGGAATCCCCTCCTAAGTTCAAGCGCTTCTATAAGGTCTCCTCTAATCCCCCTTCTTTCTAGCGAGGTCCCTTAATCTTTCCCGATATGATTCACCTCGCTGCCCCTCTACCATTCGTGTAGCTGCACTTTCTCCAGGCAGGCGGCGTCTTTTTTATGCATAGGTGCCTACGCTTGGACACAGTATTCTATTCTATATGAGGCCTTACTATTGATTTGTATAACGGGACAAAGATTTCCGGTTTTTTACAAGACAGAGCCGACCTAAGCCGGAAAAGCTCTCCCCGTTCCTTGTGAGCTGCAATTTCACATTGGCTACCAAAACTGATATCCGAAGTCATTACTGCCCCAAGATTCTTAGCTGTTTCTACCAGTTCAACTCCGAAAGCTCTCCACGTACCGACAGCTACCATTGGATCCTTTTCCTTGGACAATAATTGACACTCGGTCGCATTCAGTGCCAAGTCCCACTTATGTGACCACTCAACTACACGTTCAATATCCCTCGCTAGGTTAACCCTGCCACTCGAACCCACCACCTTCACGTCATCAGAGAAGACGAAACAAGGTGAGTTCATTAACCCTGCTAAGTCATTGAGAGGAAGAGTAACGGTCTGAGAATCGAACCTTGTGGTACTCCACTGGTCAATCGAATGACCTGAAAACTGGCCTCCTCCATCCTCACTGCGAAAGTTCTATTTATGAGAAACGCGGTTAACCATATATGCAGATTCCTTTTTAGCCCAAAGCTTTTGATTTTGTGAAGGAGCAATCTGCGGTTCACAGAATCAAAAGCTTTGCTAAAATCGAGGTAGCAAACCTCAACGGTAAAACCCTCATCTGGCTTTTCTGTAACTTCATCCAGGGAGCACAGAAGGTTAGTGAGACAGGATCTACGCTTTAAGAATCTATGTTGCGCCCCACTTAGTAGGGTATAACGCAACGGATGCCTACATACGTGCTCCCTAATCAGCTTCTCCATGCATTTGCAGAGGATGCTGGTTAGGCTTACTGGCCTGTAGTTTTTTATGTCGGACTTCTGGCCACCTCTGTGAAGTGCTACCACAGTAGCTATCTTCCAGTCACTAGGCAAACCTCCGTGCATGACACTTGGAAGAGCAGGCTCGCAGGTGTAGCAAGGACATCGGCTAGTGGTTTAAGGATGGCTGGATGAATCCCGTCTGGCCCAGGTGCTTTGTTTACGTCAAGTTCCACCAGAACCCTGTGCACATCTTCCGATGTAACGACTAGTTTCTCTATATTCTGGATCTGTTGACCCCCTCTAGTCGGGATAACCAACCCTCTATCCTTCCTGAGTATACTTCCAAAGTATCTCCCCAGTACTATGGCCTTCTCCTGATCCATTGTGACTATTTTATCACTTTCCAGGTTGATGGCGTCTATTTCATCCCTCAGCACCCCCTTGGACTGCACGTAACTATAATACCTCTTTGACTTTGCGTTCGCATCTTTGGCTAGATTCAGCTCGTATTTGCGCTTCTCTGTTTGAACGCGAAGTGCCCCGTTTCTTTGTTCTACGTAACGCATCCATGACAGCTGAGATCCTACCTCCCGGCATAGCTTCCAGCTGGCTTAACGACGTCGTTTTGTCTTACCAATGCAAGCCTTCCACCTAGGGAACCTACCGACTGACTTCCGTAGTTTCAGAGGCGCAAACTCATCCTGCAGTGCAAGTTAGTTCTCCTTTATCTTCCACTACATACCTATCATCGGCTTGCTGTCAGACGAGCTCAGATGCCTTCCTTTGCAGTCCATTAAACTCTAACTTTCCGAAGCAGCACACTATGTGTCCATGCGGCTTCGGTGGCCTTGTTTTTAGTGTAAACTTAACAACCACGTGGTCGCTCTTTCCTGTCATGGCATAATAGCCCAATTCCTGCACGTCCTTTTCGCACCGCGTAATAACAAGGTCCAGTAGAGACGGTTGCTGTCCCGACCTAAAACGCGTGTTGTCTTTCACGTGATGGCGCATTGCTTTGAGATGTACCCAGTCTAGGAAGCCCTGCTCCTGTACACCATTCGAACTACTGCCGATATCTCACTTCATACCTGGTAAGTTGGAATCCCCCAGTGCTACTAGCTTATGACGCATTCGTGCCAGGATATTTATTGCTGATTGAAGCTGCTCGTCCTATGTTGCTGCAGCACTGAGACTCCTGTATACACATGCTTTGTTAGTTTTCTGCTCCACGGTGGTGATGGTGGCCGAGCATATCTGTATGTTACTCCTGCAGACTTGAATATCCAACTTACTTGCTGGTTATCTTTCCTTACTAATAGGATCACCCCACCACCCTGCAGCTGGTGACTCCGATCTTGCGACAATCAACCTGAAACAGCCATACACCTAATCGAGCAGAGTAAACAAGAAACTACACAAGATCAATCAATATTTATCCCTCAGAACCAAACTGTTGTGAAAAACAAAACAACAGTTTCACAAAGCCAACCGCGCCTGATTTAGTTCGTCATCTGGTTCAACGTGCTGGATAGTTCAATCGAAACAAGCCAAATCCTAAAGGGATCAGGGAAAACAGGGTAAATCCCAAGCCCCAAAAGGACAGCCGCAAAGTAAATCGGCAACCCACAGGAATTCAGTCGGGTGCTCCACTCGATGGTTTCAAGGCAGCCGTCGCCCGGCTTTAGAAACAAAAAATCAGAATTGAGAACTTGGCTCACCACATGCAAAAGCATCTCATAGAGATCCACAGGCTTTAATTGTCCTACGATTCCACCCTAGAAAAGATGCACAAATCAATAATCTACACGCCAGAGCCAGTCATTTCCAACACCGCCCAACGGATCGCCGCAGAGAAAACACTCATTCTGAGTGTACGTCGCAACGCTGGCTGACACCCAAAAATGACTTGGAAACGAACACTTAAGCTGGGAAAACGGGTTCCACCAAAACAGGATGGCCTCCCTATCAGTTGACCACTGCTCGTGGAACTCCACAGTGCAAAAGTAAGAGACTTTCTCCTATCCAAGGCGTCAGTCATTGCAAACACCATGATCAACATCAAAATTGTGGCGGACAGCCCCCATCGCAAAGCGGACATTTCAAGTCCCCACTACCCTCTTGACACCCCATTAATAACCTCCGAGAAAGTCTTAACAATCGCAAGGAACCCAGTCCCTGGACCACATCCAAAATAGGAAGAACCTCTCACGACCACCAAACAGCGCAGTCACCCGCAGCTACTCTTCCATGTACTGATAAACGTTTGCAGCATCCTAAACAAGAGGTAAGAGGTGCCTGATACTCTCTGAACCGTTGATCTGTGCGTCCTGAAGGAAACTTAGTTTCGCGAAAAAGTCAAAATCGGCGACTGCAGCCACAACTTTTAGCATTACCGTTCCGACCGTAATAGCTTACTTGGTGGAGGTTGCTTGTTACTAGTGCGGTGAGTGCTCCCTCAGTCAGCGATGCACTTCATTTTTAGCTCAACGGACATCCAACCAGCAGCCTGCATACTGCACATGGATTCCCCAGTCATGGCTAACAGGATCTATCACAGTCCAAGCTTGTCACACTAAGAGGATGAGGGACTTCTTCAGGCCTTGCGTGGAGCTACCACATCAATGTATCGTCTCCTAATTCCAGGTGATTTCAACGCGCCCACTGTCAACTGGGCACAACAATCATGTTGCGGAACTTATTATGACATGGCTCTGCTCAACGTCAAATCCCATACAACGTTCACGCAGCATGTGATGGTACCTACCAGGATTAGATGCGGTCAACTACCCTCCACTCTCGAGCTCGTCTTGATGAGGAACGGTAATGACGTCGCGGGAATAAGGACACCTGGAACCGAATGAGGGGCAGGAGTGTACACCTCACGGATGTCTACATGCCTATAAAAACAACGGAGATAAGGAGACACCAACCTTGGTTCTATGCGTCCC